TATTCCCCATTTTCCCCATCCTCTTTTTATATCCCTTTCCTCCCCCCTTTTGATTACTTATGGCACCTTGTGTGCTATAAGCAATAGCCATACTGAATTTCTATTTATTTAAAAAATGAGCAAATTAGGAATATACTTATCACAATAGTATATCATAAACAAGCTGATTAAAGCCATGAAATGATGTGCCAGGTATTTTTTTGTTTTTCTCCTGCCAGGAGAACTGAAAACTATGGGCATACAGCCCTAAAGCTTCCACCTATTAGTCTTTCTTTTTTTGTCTTCAAAAATCAGACTTGTCTCTCATCTTGGATTTCATTTCTTTGCTCCAAACACAGATGTCACAGCCTGGTTTTGCTGTCTTTTTCTCATTGGATCATTGGAAGAAAACAGAAGAAAACTAGGCTGTAAAAAGTCACACACACACCCCCCCCCAAATCACAGTGCAGTCAAAAAGAAAGAGGGAAAAAAATAAGACAACCCTGAGATTTTACTGTGCTATAAGTAACAGCACAGCAATCATGCTTTCTCTCATACACTCCACTGCCTTACCTCAATTGTTGCTTATTTCCCTCATATATTGCTGGCTAAACCGCCTGGCCCAGCTCCACTTCTCCTCCACAGCTCCCCGGCCTTTCTGGCATCAGAGAAGCCTCCCATATCCCTAATCCTAACACCTTGTCACAGGGTAATTATAGTGCTGGCATGACTCCAACATCTATCTTACATCAAACAATCTCCGCTTGTTTGCTTTATAGGGAATGACGGACTTAAAAATGAATTCGGACCAGAGAGACCTGTTCGGCACTAGCCTACCATATGACCTTGAAAAAGGAACCTTTCCTTGACTTCTAAAAAACGGGGATAAATATGACCTTGGATGGTGCTCTAAGACCTACTGAGGGAAAACACTGCACCAGTGACCCCACCTCTGTCCTGCCCCGACCCTTCCCTGTCACTCTGCCTTGTGGCTGTGGTTACCACTTCAAGGGATCCGCCCGCTCCAGCTGCCAACCTGTAACTAGAGACGGCAAAACACGGGCAACATTTCTCCCTCCCCAAGACACATCAAATGACACTGCGGCTTCCAAAATCTTTCAACCTGGGATCATAAAACGACAGGAAGAGCATGGAGAAAGCAGGAGGACGTCGGGGAGACTCCTGCACTCTCTCATGAGGGCTCTGCTGATAACGTGCGACCCCAGTTTCTCCTCAGGCCTCCCCTACTTAACGGCAGACGAGCCGCGCTCGCTCCTTCCCTCCCTCCCCCCGCCCAGACCAGAGCTGAGGAGAACAGGGGAGGGGAAGGAAATGGCACCCGAGGGTGCCCCCCTTCCCACCTGCTAACGCGTCCTAGCCGTGCCCTTCCGCAGCAGCCCCTCTCCCCCTTTTCCCGCTTCACAGGAGGCCGCTCGGCCCCCCGCACACCCGCCCTGACCCTCGCCCCTTACGGCTCAGCCCGCCGCCCGCCTCCCCTCGCAGGCACTCCCCTC